GATGCTTATCTAGTTTAATGCAATGTATCCCTAACTCCCACTGAAATGTCAGTATTAACACTTTGGATATTGAACCAATACTTAATTTATTGGGGAGGAGAGGAGAGGAGAGGAGAGAGAGGAGAGGAGAGGAGAGGAGAGGAGAGGAGAGGAGAGGAGAGGAGAGGAGAGGAGAGGAGAGGAGAGGAGAGGAGAGGAGAGGAGAGGAGAGGAGAGGCATAGGAGAGTAGAGGAGAGGAGAAGGAGAGGAAGGAGAGGAGAGGAAGAGAAGGAAGGAAGGAAGAAGGAAGAAGGAAGGAAGGAAGGAAGGAAGGAAGGAAGGAAGGAAGGAAGGAAGGAAGGAAGGAAGGAAGGGAGGAATGTCATATAGCAACTATCAGTTTATTTTCTGTACCTGCAGGACAGCCACTGCATGGCACATACTGTCTGCTTTCAGACCTTACTACAATGACAATCTTCAGGATATATTTTGTGAAACAGATATGTTCTCTCCACAGAAACAGAAAAAATAATAAACTGCAAAAACATGTATTTCCCTGTTCTCTGCTTAAGGTTGCTTTGTTGGGTTGGATATCCCCATGTTTTCAGCTAGAATAGAGCATCTTTTCATAATGACAATTTGCAGGAAACACTAAACATACAGAAGACACTTTTTTTTCTTTTAAAAAATCTTGATTAAAAATTGCAGACCATTCCCTCATATCTGTAATTTATAATAAAGTTATGTGCAATATATTGTATTGTTAATTTTCAGCACAATTTCTTGTATCCAGAATCCACTTAACATAACACCAAAATTAATTGTTTCAGTTATGACCATAGCCAAATTCTGCCAAAATATTTTGGAGATAAGTGAGTATTGATGAATAATATATATATATATATTTTGTATTTAATTGATGGATTTTCTAACTGCACAGTTGTACATTTACATCCTGTGTGCCAGAACAGACCATTTCTATTCTGATTGGATGAAAACAGAGAGGAAAGATGATCATAAAGCTACTTCAATAAGTGCCCATGTGCTATATTTAGCTGCTGGTAAGGTGATAGGTCCTCAACTCTGAATCTACTCTGAGTGTGCAATTATGAATGCAGAGCAGACCAAATTCTCTTAGACAAGCACAAGGAAAACCCAATTACTGATGCTTAGTCAGATATTCTGCTTGGAAAGCTGGGCAGCATGACGTGGCAGTTACTGGCTAGGACAGTAACACATAGCTGAAACACGTGCGCATCTCAAGGAGTTTTATGAAGCTGGATAATTACTATCAGTGTTTCACAGATAAGCTGGATAAGGTAACAGAGAATATCATAGTGACTTGCCCATGGTCTCAGGATCATCACACAAGATTTAGGAGCAGGCCTGATTTCTTTTAATGCTCTGATGGGTGTTTTCTCCCTGTGATCCTGTTGCATTTGTGTAAAAGCATCAGGATGACCTCCCATTTCCAGCTGCTCACCCAGAGCAGATTTGGCACCAGGGAACCATATCATCTTACTGGCCTCTAAACATAACTTTTAGATGTTTGTTGTAGTGGCTTTACAATCATCTTTCCTCTGTTGTCAGCCGGTGAGAACAGAAATGGTCCCCTCTGCTAACAGGGACATAAATTGTGGGTTAAGTCCCATTACTAGCCTTCATGCCAGGGAAGTTATTCTTTTGCCTTCAAGCACTTAAAAATGGTTGTGTATGCTGTCTCCTGGAGCACTTAACTAATAATTATTCTGTTCTCTGCTATGGCCCCCAAATATCTGTCAACTGTAAATCAGGCTTCTTTTAATTAAAATCTATTTTTTGTTCTTCTTCAATAAATTATTTTATTTATTTATTTATTTATTTTTAATAATGAACCATATCATCAATAAAACACATTTCAGTCTTCTTGTAAAGCTTCCTTTCTTAAAGAATTGTGATCAGGAGGGTTGAATAAATAATTAATGATTCACAGAACATATATAGTGTTTTCTACCCCAGGTCCTTGAAGTGTTTTAAAAGCATTAATCAAAGGCAGCTCCTCAGCATGATATCTACATATAAATAATTTTTAAAATCATAATCCACAATGTTACATCTGCTCCCAAGTTCCAGTGTTGATGTTTGTGATTTTACAGCCACATTTTCCTATTTCTTTTAAAAATATTTTTCTCTCCCCTGCGGCTATGTGAAAGGCTGAGGCAAAGCAGAGGAAATAGACTATTTATCCAGGGAAAACAGTGAAACACACACAACTTAAATGGCTTGACTCTTTCCTGTTTTTACTCTGGTGTAATGCAGTTTTATTTCTACATGTGATGAAACTGGCATTTTCACAGTGAAAGAAAAAGAAGTGTCAGCTTGGTGCACACTGTGGGAGATTCAAGCCCACTGGGTTATCGGATGTAGATTTTCTTTATCCCTTCTTTTCCTCTATATTCCCCCAACACCCTATCCAGTATTTCACTTAATCATCTGAATTGCTGTTTGCAATAACTGTTCTGGAAGCTGAAATCATTCAGGAAGACATCAGAAATGGTTTTGGTATCTCTACACCATTTGGTTGGTTTTGAATATCTGGTTCCCTGGTGCACAGACATGACTCATTGCTACTATGAGCTACCTTTCCTCCTGATTTTCCACCACCTGGTGGTATATATTCATGAGTAAAAATAACTCCTTCCAAGACCCTGGGCATTAAGAAATGTATAGGTGCTAAAATGGATGTGCTGACTCTAGCCTGTTTAGATTGCTTCACTCCAATCCAGTTTCCAAGAAGCATGTACTTTCTGCTTGCTTAGTTGTTCAAAAACTGCCCATTCCTTTGTTTAAGATGGATCTGTTTGACCACAAATATCACCTGAAAGATGTGATGCTCTCTCTGAATAACAGTCTGTAAGACTATCTGACTACTATTCTTAAACATTGGAGAAATTCTGAACTTTATGCACAGAGAGGAGTAATGTGAGAAACAGAATGAGTAGGCAGAATCCTGATGGCATCCAAATTATATCTCTAAACAAGGGGGAAACTTCAAAGTTTGTTGTAGAACCTAACACATATAAGGTAGATCTCTTTTTTTTTTTATGTTTAAGTTAAAGAAATTCTATTTTTATAATTTCCCAGAGCTTTTTAGCAGGTTTTTTTTTTGTTTGTTTGTTTGTTTGTTTGTTTTTTAATAATAGTCCCATTCCTTGAGTCAAGCTATTTGGTAAGAAAATCCACTTTCATTCATCTTGAAGGGGTAAATATCTGAGTGGCTACTGTTGTGCTTGCCGAAGAAAATCCTGAAAGTGTGGTACATCTTAAAAATTCTATGCATTTTATTAAGGCAAGTTAAAAAAAAAAAAAATATATATATATATATATATTTAACTTTTCCACCTCACTGCCTAAATGTAACCCAAGTTGTATGTCTGTAGGTTACTATCACTCTCCAACAGCCTTCTTCTGTGGTACAGTCAGCTCTATTAATATGTTTTTAATTTCCCTAACCTAGTAAAATGAAGTGGCATTTATCATACATATAAGGCTAGAAGTTCAGGAGTGCTGTAGCATGCAGCAGGAAAGGGCTAGTTAAACCTAAGTTCAGCCACACTGGCTCCTCACAAGCCAGTGGACAAAGCGTGGGATTTAAAAGATGGATAACCATTGTATTACCCATTTGCATCCCAAATAAAAATTCAAGAACACCTGAAGGAAAGTCATCCCAATTCCACCTAGTGATGAAATGGCGCAAAAGTGAAACTTCAAAAAACACAATATGAGGGCTGTACTAGCAGTAGTTCTGAATATGCTAGCAGATGTACTTTTCACAGACCATGTTTTCCTGTAAGCGTGTCCCACTGCAGCTGGAGCTGTAGGCACCCAGCCACCCTCACCTTGGTCCAGAAGCCCAAACAGCCTGTACTGGAGGCTTGGATTCTTCTAGCCACCTCATGTCATGAGCTGCAAATACAAAGAAGCAGGGGGATTTTGCATATGGATCTGCTGTGCCCTTGAAAGGTATTGGCCCCTGTCTCTGTGGCGTGTTTTCACTTTTCCACAGGGGACAGCAGCATGCAGCATCATGTGAAAATATAACGCTGGTGACCAAGTGATGAAGTCACAGACAGCCTCAGCATGACTACTGTAAGGAAAGATGCTGTTTTGTGTAGGCCATGCTTAGCGTCTTCCTACAAAAAGATACTGGCTTTTCTCTACACTTCAGGTTTCCAAGGGCAAGAATAAACACTGAGTTTTCATTTCAATAGCCTGGTCTGTAGCAACTTTGTGGCTTTATGTGAAAATAAACAGAGCAGAGGACAAAAGCTACATTGTACACTATCTAGTAAACAATGTCTTTGGCTCACTGACACTGCCTGGGCATGACTTTTAAACTACTCTGAAAGAAATACCTTTGATATTTGTTGTAACATCAGTAGTAATCCCTTTTCTTGAGTAAACAAAGCAAGTACATGGAAAAGTTCCAAACCTCATTCAGGATCAGAATGAACACATACAAGATCAGAAAAAAATGATTTGCAGGAAAGGGCTGATTTTGCTATTAAATCCCCGAGTGAAGGATCTTCCCAAAGCATTATTTCCACTAACTGAAAATGATGTTCAGTCTAAAGAAAAGGTGTATTGTGGGAAAGATAAGGAAGATGGTGGTGTAGAAGGTAAGTGCTGAATGATAACCTTGGGAAAAAACTTGCAGTGAATCCCTGAAATGGGTTCAGCAGATACGGCAAAGATAAACATAGAAGAAAACATTCCTTTTTTGTTTTATTTTAAATAGCTCCTGCTACCCAAATAGGAACTTTCTGCACATCCAAGTATGAGTAAGTTGTCATCTGCTATGGTTTACCACAATGTCTTTGAACAGCATTCTGAAAGAACCACTGGGTCAGCAAGACTTGTTCAGCAAGACCTTCACTGGGACGGTAGACCCAGGAGACATCCCATGTAGCCTGAAACCACCTTGGCTGGGCTGATAGGAGGCCGTGACCATCCGGAGGGGTGCTCCACGTGCCAGGCTTACCTTTGACACAGGCCTGAACCTGCCCGTACCACTCCCCGCAAGTGTCGCAGAGCAGCGTGAATGCCGCCTCCTTGTTGCCCATGACGTACCCCTGAGCACAAACATACAGCAGCTCATCCCCCATTTCAAAGCCAGTATGGCCGTGCAGAATGGTGTGAGGGAAGGATGGCGGGTCCCCGCATGGCTTGTCTGAAAGGATAAAAGAAGCCAGATTTTAGAGACCTCTCAATGGTCTTTAAATACAGTGCTAACAGAAGGGCTAAAATAACCCTGAGGACAAACCTACAGAAACAAATACCTCTTAAACTGATTCACACTCTTATGCTCCTTCGTAACTATTTTCAGTTGTAATTGGGAAGGTATATATTGGGCTATGATCGTGATGTGATAGCTGTGATATTACTGGTGCATAAAGTTACTGATGTGCAACACTAACACATCTAGTAGGGCTTAGTTTCCCATCAGTCAGAACAAGTCAGGCTATAGCTGTCTTCTCTGTCTGTTTCCACAGAGGTTAATAAAGGCTTGGGTAGGCTGGGACTGGAAAGAAAAGCTTGGACACATTTTTTTTTTTTCTTAACAGCAGAAAAGGTTGTGTAATTGTTCAAGACCGGTGCTTTAGTATCTACTAGATGGAGAAATGACCCAGTCCATGTTCACAGAAAGGAAATGCTGAGATGGACACAGCTTCTAGTCTTCCTCAAAATCAAAATTTACTTCTCAAATCCCTCATAAGAGATAGCTAACATACAATAAATGGTTAATAAATGGTTACTTGTGGTCTTCAACTTAACAGAATCCAAGGGTAACATAGCTTTGCTCTCTGTGAGCTAAATTTATCATAAGAAATCTGAAAATATGTTGTTTGATAATATTTCTGCTAACAGCATAGAGATCCAGGAAGTAAAAATTACAATAAGCAGTATCAAAACTGATTTTCATTTTTTTGTTCTGCATCACAGAAACACAGATTGGAACCATCAGACCTCTGTCAATACTAGTGTAAACTGAAGTTTTAACTCTCACTTTCAGGTTTGAACAGTCTTGGCTATTGTCAACAATGTGAGTTGAGGTCTTCTAGAGAACTGTCAGGCACTGCAGTTTCTCTTCTCTCAAAGGTCTTCCCTGAAGAGTGGTTTGGCATAACACCTTGTTCTCAGTATTTGTCACCATCCTTTTTATAGTAGAACCTCTTGGTTACAAGAAAACAACCAACCAACCAACCAAAAAAACCTGCCACCAACAATTCCACAGTGCAAGAACATGGTCTTACCAAGAAACCCAATGAAGTGTGCAGTGTTAGTAAAAATAAACTCTTCTATATTCTTTTTCAAATATATATTTTTCCCCCAATGGTTCTAGAACACTTATTGACTGTAGAAGAAAAAACAAGTATTCCACTTGCCAAAATAACTGAAGATTCACAACATGCTTTGTCCTGATGCAGACTGAAAATAAAAAGGCTAATAGGTAGCAGCTCAGGAGTCCAGGATATGGGAAAGTCAGGGTCAGATCTGTGTTCAAGTATCAATCTCTCCTGTTGAAATAGTTTGTCTGCATACAAAAATCTAATGACTTAGTTGGCTAAGGAAATGTTATGTTCATTGAAAAGCTTTTTTTTTTGGAAGTTGAAAAAATGACCTCCAAGTCTATAGTAGTCTTAAACTATGCTCCTAAAAAGTATAAACATTTTCAGAGAGCACCCCTGCTACTTCGCTCAAGCTTGCTTTTAGGACAGCATCTACACAAGAACAACATTTCCACAGACACCATTTCATATCCAGGGTTTTGAATGGGCAATAGTTTTGATGGAAAAGAGTCTTTTTTCAATCTAATTTCTGCAAAAGTTCAGGCTTGCTAGGGATCAAGCCCCTCCAGTCCCATAGATAGCCTGCATAGATATCTTGCCTGATAAGTTCCAGAGTTCCCATCACCTACACACTTCTGATCCAGGCATGGGTAAATACACGCTTATGTAGAAATATGACCTGTTTATGTTGACTGTTATTTACTTCATAATGAGATGAACATTATGTGATAAATATCCACGTTCTGTTAAAGTTATTTTGGATCAGGATTTTAAAAATTATCTGATGTCTAACCACTTCTTAACCAGGTATGCTGAAAAACATCTGCCACTAATTTAAGGGACACACTACTGAAGTTAAAGCTTTGAAGTTTATTCTCCTTACTGTACACATACATATATGGTCTAACACCTTCAAAAGTTAGTGGGAGTTATGCATACATACACAGACAGAAAAAACAAGCTCTTGAGGCTACACAAAGCTCAGTTTATGTAGTCTTATGTAGGTTTGGCATCTGAGGAAGTAAGGAGTAGTTAGCAGCTAATGCATTTCCTGTGAACTGGTAGGATGAATAAAACTTGATGTGGATGAAAGGAATAAAAAATATTTTATTGCCTCATAGGAAGGCTACAGACCCCTGCATTTCATATACTTTATTTATGCAATCACTTTCATCAGAACAAATGGGAGCTGTGTGTCTGCTCTGAGACAAGAATTGGTCCCAAGGTTGTATAGAACAATTATATGTCAAAGAGTATTATTATCTACAAAGCCTTGCTTTTTATTATGTTGGCCAAAGGAAGCAGAAAAATAAAGCTTACATTGATTAAATATATTTACATTATGGCAAACACATTCAAAAACCCCACTATAATCTTCCAAGAAGGAAAGCAAGCTGAAGGGAGCTTTACTGTAAAATTTGGCAACAGATGTGGTAACAGAATAATGAGATCCTGAAGGAACGATCTGGCTGTTGTGTATAAATTGAAAGAAAAAGAGAGATTTTAAAGACATTCCTGGACAAACATTGTATATGGAACTGTTGAATCTCTCTTATGAGACTTAGTAATGTTGTGTCTTTGCTGCAGAGCATACTGAGTGACAGAGTGGACAAGACTAAGTAACAACCAATATCCTGCAGAGACATACTCCAGTTCTTGCATCCATTTTGCTATAGTATTCTTTTGTGTAAGAAGTATGGAAATTTTCAGGGTTTCATTTGATGGATCTCAGTCCTGCTGCAACCTCAGTTGCTATGACAATTCCTTCTCAGCATTTTATCAAGCCTGCTCTTTCTGGTACACTCACAGAAGTGATACTGGCTTAGAAGCTCATCAGACCGAGCCACTTCTGGGGACATACTTCAGTTTTTTGTTTGTAGTCCTTGTACCAGGAGGTGGCAAAACAAAGATTTATTTGGAAGGACAGCCCGTGCCCAGTGTTGTCATTCAAGCAATTTTCTTCCTGGAATAGAGGAAGCAGATCTAGGCTATGAAGCGTGACAGAAGGTGTGTTGGCAGCAGTTTGTCATTTGGAGGAAGAGCAGTGGTCTTTAACAAGGTGACTGCAGAGGTTACCTGGAGTGGTGACTGTGGTAGACGAGGACTGGGCTCTCCCTCTGCTGAGTGGGTGCTCTCCATCTGGAGTACTGCTTTTCACCTCCTCTATCCTTCCATAATCAGAGTATTTAGTTGGTGTTTGCTAAAAGATGATCCTGGTGCACGCTCCCAATTACAAGAGCCTGATGTGCTGGATTATTTTTCCTCAACACTCTGGCCCCATCCAGAGGTTCTTACGTTCTGCCCACTTGTTCAAGATTACATCTACACACTTGGAAACTTTGAGTCCAGCTCTGAAAATCATGACCCTTGCTAAGTTTACCTCAGAGAGATCTGGAGTCCTAATGTCAGCTGAAAGCAGAAGACTTGGCAGGTGACCTTCTGGATGACATTTTATTAAGAAGACATGTTGCAAATCTGACCCACATATTGGCAGTGATGTCAAACACCTAACAGGACCTAAATGGACAGTTGAGCTCTAGTAAGTAAGGATGGATTAGGTTATGCCTCAAGAAAGCACAGCACAGACACATGGAAATGTGCAAGTGCACAGAAGAGCCTCATGTCAGCAACAATTTGGCATAGAGTGTTTTCTGGAGTGACAATACCCACTGCAGGCATGGAAGAAGTCAATATATGTGAGTGGACTTCAGGATAGAGGCAACCTCTGACAACTGAGCAGGAATAAATGGCAGAGAAAGAATTTAAGTGTCTGGCACAGATATGTTAGCCAGGGCTAGTGCTGATTCTGGCTACAGACCTCTCAAGAGACTTAGAAACTGTTTTTTACAAGGGATTTAAGATGCCTCTTGTTAATTGATTTAGCACATTCAGTCTTGAATTATAGCCCCTCTGAAGAGTAAATTTAACACCAAACCATGTGTGGAAAGGAGTTTGTGACAGATGATTTCTGGCAAGAGTCAACACAAGTCACTTTGAGTAAACAACAACCCACCTCCCCAGTCCAGAAGCAGTTTCTCAATTTAAGCTCCATGCATCTCATCAGTTTGTAAAGGTTTTTAGAGACATTTTGATAAAATACTGTCTAGAGAAAGGACAGCCTACGATCAATGGAAAAAAACATCAACTCAAAATAGATGCAGACTTCAGCATCCACAACATCTGGCAGAGCTGCAGATCTACTGAAATCTGATTATCTACAATGGCTACTTAAACAGTGTCCTATGCTCTGAAAGCTGACATGAAACATCCTCTTTGATGTAAAATATCCCCTTTTACAACCATCCAATTCAGCAGTTTCCAGAGAGACCACTGAAATTTATTGGATGTCATCTTGTCATTAAGAAATTGAAAAATGCAACTCTTACTGCTCAATCCTGTGAAAGATGAGTGTGAATGTTTGATTTTTTCTTCTGGATTGCAGAGACACTAAAGGGTATGGAATTTTTCTTTTTAGATAAAAATAATTAGTACAAATAAAGTACAAAGAACCAAAACCCAAACATAGCCAATGTAAGCGCTGCTTGTAAGCTACTGATCTTAGGATGCCAATACCCCTTTCATCAGATAGGGTTGGTAAGAGTAACTTCATTTATTAGTTTAAATGACATCACCAGGAAGATGGAAATTCACTGTCAGCTATAGGCAAAGCTCTGGAAAAGAAAACTGTAGCAATAAAAAAAAGTGAAAAACTTAATATCCATAGCAAAGCATGGCAAATAAAAAGAAATGGCTTAAATATAAAACAAATAAAAAATTGACTGCTCTTTCAACATACATTTAATATATTTGATGTAAAGGATACATTCTTTTTTTTTTTTTTTTTTTTTTCTTACTGGTGAAAAAAAGCAAACTGAAAATGTACATAAGCCATCAACCTTTGATGGGTATCTGGAACCAGCAGTCATGTTTATCAAAGTTTGATTTGCATTTTGCTATATGCTACTACAAGTTTCTGCCTGTTTAGTTTTTCTATGACGGCAGCAAATCAAAGCCTTGGAGAATAGAGGTCTTACTTGTTGCCTGTAAATATCAGTGGGTCACCAAAAGAAAGAACCAGTAAAACATAAAACCTGGGAGTGATTAACAAAGAGATCATTGTAAAAAAAAAAAAAAAAATCTGGTAGGAAAAAATTCCAACCTTGTGGTTTTCTGTTGTTCTTATTTTATTTATTTTATACTTAGAGGTGTTTTTTTATGAACTTTGATAGAGAACAAATACATGCTCTGTGGGCCAGATCTGACTTACATGCAACATTTCATTTTCATAATAGGCAGAATCTAATATGTTTTTAGGTAACTTTTGGCACTTGAGGTTGAGAGAAGCTTGTTTATCTCAGCAGATTCTGAACAGGTAAAGAGTTGCCTTCCTGGATCTAATGACAGCATAAAACATTATTTTCAGAGAAACTGAGAAGATATCCAATTTCTCTGTACTATTCAGCAGCATTCATATACTCAGAGCATTCATAAAATATAACAACCACATCTTTCCCAGTAAAACATAACTCAGAGCATCAGAGGCTGCTGTGATTCTTTACTGTGTGCAGAACCAAATCCATTTCAGAAGCACAGAAAAAAAATGTATTTTCCTCTTCAGGGTAAAAAAAAAGCCTGATCCTGTAAGCATCTGACCACTGTTGAGGCATGCTGGTGTATATGCTTCAGCAATTTGACTGAACTCAATCTTAATTGAGTAAAGATTAATTGTAAATCAAGGCCTAAGAAGGGACTTCTGCAATGATTTGTGCTAGAAGTTCCATGGGGGGTTGAGATGCCCTTTGCAGAGCCCTAAGAACAGAAAACAGTTGTTAAGCATAATGGTCAGTGTAGTTTCTGAAAAAGAGAAGGCTGATGTGACATTCCCTCTGCCTGTCCTCAACTTGCCAGCCTGTCTGAGCCTTCAGATGACTCCAGACAGCTTGGACAAAGAGGGAGAGCTGTTGAGCTTCTGCTCATTTTAGACAGGTTTCAAAGAGGAAAGATCCAGGCATCTTTTCCACTAGGATGACCACAGGTAGGACTCGGCTTTTATCTGTTCCCACAAGCATTGGTGGCCAGCCATCAGCACTGAATGCAGGTGGACAAAGCAGGTCACTGACTATGGCTGAGGCTGTGATGGGAGGTTTGCTGCTGTTATTTCTTACTGCATATCTGTTTCCTAAAACTGAAAGTGGCATCCTTCAAGTACATGATCTTTCAACATTCAACTACTTTGCGCTATCTTGTGTGCTACTGTGTATTACATGCATGTGTGAAGGCTATTTCATTTCTGGACTTTGATCTTTTCATACCAGCTATGGACCAGTTTCCTTGCTGCACAACTTCACTTAAGCCTTTTCCCTCAAACATTGCATCCAAAGCATTTTTGTGTATTCAAAGACGGAACCTAACTGTCATCTGGAAAAGCTTCCATATTTAAATATTATTTGACAAATATATTGGCTTGATCATCCCACTCTGTCATCAGGAAACTCCCTGCCTTGTACAAAACAACTTGTTCACAAGTGGCTTCTTTTTAGCAAATGATCTGATTTTTCCCGAGTTTAAACTGTGCAGTTTCTGAGTATTAAGTAGGACTTCTTTCCAAAAACATTGTCAAATTGCGCTCTTATCTTCACCAATGCCCCTTTACTGCCAGCAGCAAACAAATGCAAAACACAAGCTCAGTTCCTTCCCTGAGATACAGCTTCTATGTGTAAGGCCAGAAGCAGCAGGTGGAGAGGGCCAGGGGAGAGCACAGGGCACAATAGAACAATGGTGGTCACTGCAATGATTTCAGCCCGCCACAGCTGCCCAACCCTCCACAAGTTTTTTCTCCTTGGGGGAATGATGACAAAAGAGAGATTTGAAGGAAGACAATGAGATAGTTTTGCAGATGTTTACAGGGAGCTGCTCTTATATGTGAGACACAACATGGCAGTAAGCACAAAGGTGCTTGTGTGACAGCATTAACCACTGGGTGACGTAGCTGGCATCGCTCATAGCAGCACGAAGCCTGGAGTTGACATCGTGGTAATTATTTGAGAGGATGGTCAGTCAAACTCTGCAATGTTTGAATTAATAGGTGTTTGTCACATTTCACTTCAACCACATCTTCATTCTCATTGCTGCCACTGACTCTTTATCAAAGTGCCCCCATGTTGTGAACTTAGTGTTTATCAGTAAATGCCATCTGCTTGTCCCTTCTTTTTTTTTGATATGAGATAGATGTGAAACTTCACTGCAGACACTAACAATCTGTTTCAGGGGTTCCCAGACTTCTTTATACAATTCTACCTAGCAGTAACAATTTATGTTTTGCCTTTGGACTACATCTTTGTAGCATTTGAATACCAAAGTCTAAGCTTCAACTTAAATTGGAAATTCTTTGGTTTTCAGAATCATCCATGATACACCAGTGTCCCCAGTGGGCCAGTATATATTTGTTAACAAAATAACAAACAAACAAAAATAAAATTGAGTCAATTAAATTACTTTCATATAAATACAATGTACAGATAGATATGCAACAACACAGTCTTTTGTGGTTGGAAGCCAGATTCCTGAATTACACTCAGTTACAGTGCTGAGTGCAGGAGATGCTTCAGGTATCTCAGATGGTGCCACATATATCCTTTTCCATAAATATGTTCTTTGAACACCAAAATGGTATCTTTCTGATCAACAGTGATCTTTAAGCTTGATAAACTGCAGCAAAGACAAATGATAATGCAGTTTATTTCCTGCAACCAATGTCTTTGTAGCTGTTGGCTCACACAGTAGGACATTACTATAAAGATTTTTTTTTAATATCTCCACTTTGCCTCTCAGTGGTAGAAAAATCAAAGGCAAAACTTCTAATGTTTCAAGACAGCAATTACTGCGCATTATTTCAATAGTATATCAGTGCTGACCTTCATCCTTTACACAAAAAGCATCATATTGGTCATTCACAAAGGGATCGGTTTCAATTTTAACATCAATGGCTTTCACGCTCTGCTGTTTGCTGCCCGTCTTTCTGCATATAATTGTCCTAAAATGAAGAAGAAGAAGAAAAAAAAAACAATCAGAAATCTTCTGGAGTTGTACATGCAGGTGAAGTTTGGAAATCTTTTAGCACGGTATTCAGGTAGCCTCAGCTTAACTGTTTAAGAGTTGGCACATAAGGCATTAGTGTGGGAAGATGTACGAAAAAAGCCAAGGTAGAATTAGAAGTAATTAAAAAAAGTTTGCTTCAGTTCAAGGCATATGAAGCAATAAAGGGTGTTTATCTTATATTCTGTGAAACTTCTAAAATATCAGACCAAGTCCCAGTGTGTTTAAGTACTAATTCTGCTCTCATATTCCAGCAATACAAACTCCCACCAAGGATACCTGGCTAAAAAATGAGTAGAAGTCTCAAGATTTGGTCTGAAAAATTATAATCACTAGCAATAAAATTATGCTTGCTGCATAAGTTCCAGGGTATTTTATCATAGTTGGTATTTTAATCTGCTACACAAATGTGGATGAAAGCATTTTTTACCTGGTTCAGTTGCTCCATTTGGAAAACAGAAATAGCAGTATTTACTCTTGTACTGGGTTAAAGCACACAGTTTTGATGGACTAGGGATGGTGCAGATGTATAGCCAAGACACAGTGTTGTACACCAAAATGCTTCCAAAAACATCACAGCTCCAAAAAGTAACTTGAAGGAACTGGCAAGACAGAAATGCTGCATTCATAGCCTCTCTCCATTTTCAAATCATGTTCCTGTTACAGGTTAAACTTAAACCCTCTTAATTTGTTCTTAAAATGCAAGCTCAAAAATTCAACTTGAGTTCTTGGAAGAAAAACTGTTGTTGTTGCTGTTTCTTTCTTTTCTTTTCTTTTTTTTTTTTTTTTTTTTTTTGTTTGTTTTTCAACAGTTATTCCACACCTTTGCATGAACTCCATTTTTATTGGTTTGGTATGCAGCCATACCTAACCCATCCTGTTGCCCTCTACAGGCTTGGACAAAGGTAATAAAGTTCTACAAGAACTTGGTTCCACAAGTCTGTAGATGCTGAACATAAGGGAAGAGATTATTAATTATGTCTTCTTTCATCTGTATTAGCTGCTTGAAACTAACTAATAAAAGACAGTTTGTTAGAGAAGACACTGCTTTTATTGTTTCAGTGATGGTTATTAAAGCTGGGAAAGTGAATTCAGCCCAAAGTTTTGCAGCTGGCTATTAATGGTGTGTGTTTTATTTTGTGTGGACTGCAGGTCTGTAGAAGTGTTGCATGGTTAGTTCTTCTAGTGGAAGCAAGACAAAAATGCTTTCCACAGAGGAATCTTTCCAGTGAAGGAAATTTATCATTTTGTATTGTGCAATGGTTGAGCTAATTTTGCCAGCAGTCCCACACTCAATTTGAAGAATTAATTAAATGTTGACTAACTGCCCATTCACTGAATGTGGAAAAACTCCAGAGGAAAGCAAATATTTGATCATGCACTTAAATACTACAGCAATTGATTTACACAAGTGGACTGAATTACGATTATGCAGACCATCTTAATTCTGACATGTGTTAGCTCTTGAGCAGTTAAACAAGCAACTTTAATGTGATTTTAATGTAAACAAACAAAAACAATATGAAAAAAGACATGTGGTGCTGGTCATTCATACATACTGGAATGGTTCCTACTCCATTTCTGCTCTGAGAAATGACATGATGCAATACCCTACTAAAAGTTGCTTTATAATTGCAAAGCAAACATTTCTTTCATAAGGAAAACACATCTTTATTTTTTGGGGGATCTCTTGAAGAACAGTATTATCCATAGGAGTTTAAATCAAGTTTTCTTAGAATTAAATGCCATATTTTAAGGTTTGAGTCCTTTAAATCAACAATAAGGCACATAGACAAAAGTGACCTGGTCTATCAAAGTGGGTTTAGGTGACTGAGAGAATAAGGCCATCAATTAGCAAATTCTTATGTGTATTCACATATTGTTCCACTAGGTCTTATAAGACCTAGGTAAATGAAACTATGTCCCATGACCCCTTTCAAAAAGTGACAGAATCTTAATCTTTTTAATAATCATTTACTTGTCTAGGTACCTACATTGCTTTTGCCTTGCAACAGAGTAGACAGATCCTGAAATGTCTTTAAAGATCTCAGCCTTTTACTTGTAATTGTGTACTTAAGACTTCAGCCTGTCTTAAAATAAATAAATAAATAAACAAACAAACAAATAAATAAATAAATAAATAAAGTTTTGAAAATTTTTATCATCATAAAAATCTGGTAAACCTTGTCTCTGAAAATCAGGCACATTTCTTTGTATGTCCAACTGAATAACACATTTTCTGGTACATGCAAACCAGTTTTGAAAATCTTATCTTGAATTTTCTGATTTTGAATTCCACTTCATAGCCACTAAATTTTGCTTCATCTCAAAGTACTGTAATTTCTGTATCCTTTCTTCAGTAGGTTAAAAAGTTATCTGTGTGTTACACATCCTTGGTATATTCATATTATTACAAAAACTGGATATTTGGCTCACATGTAAGACTTTATTAGAAAACCAAGGTTTTTGTTTGTTTGTTTGTTTGTTTTTTCCCCAGGTTTTGTACAATGAATTACAAGCTTGTAGGTGATAAAAATTGAATATATTGAACAATAAATTAACTTTAAAGCATTTCTTAGCTATTCAGTGAGCTCAAACTTACAAAGGTGTATCTATGCATATTACATGAAGTTTAAAAATTGTTCTTCCTACCTCTTTAACTGCAACAAAGCAGGCCTTTGCTAATCCTCTACTTAGGATTTTAATTTGGATTTTGTTATATTAAAATTGATCTGGTTAAAACTGAAAACATTCTAATGCAATTATTCTGTTATGAAATAAATTATGTCTTGTACCCATAGAAAAAATAGAAGAAAAAAATGTTTAATGTCTTCTATTCCTCCTTCTCTGTCAGTAGTTTCCTACGATGAACTCAATCCTGAAAGTTTTGAATATTTTCAATAAGCTATTATTACCACTGCCAAAAAGAGTTTCATGAGTCCTCAGCTCTTCTCAGTAGTGGCTCTAGTGATTAGAACTGCAATGCCTTTGGCACAGAAATAGTCTCTTTGCAGTCGGTATGATTAAAAATATGGAATAATAGTCTCTTTTCTCAGAGTTGTTGAGGGTAGTTAGGGCATACATGTATTTCCCTAAATCTATAAAATGCTAGGTTTGCATCTATAATTATAGCTGAAGTATGTAGGTACTCTTTTGTTTCTGTTCTAAATGGTAAGCTTTTATGCTTTGTATTTTTTTTTTAAACCTTATGACTGAAAAATGGCTAGTACCTTCTCAATTCAGGATTCAACGTATGTTGAGATTTGCTCACTAGCAGCATTGCCATGTTAAAATAAGAAATAAAAAATCATACATTGTTGCTATTTGGTTACAACCATCTCTCACAGTTCCAGCACCCTGGTAAGAGTTGTGTAAATGCATAACCTTTTTTTTTTCTTTATTGTTTTGAATTGTTGTGTTGGAGCATCATGCATTGTGGTTGAGAGAATGCCAAGAAGTTCATATTTTTTGTAGAAAGACATGCATGTACCAAGCCATTTAGAAGAATGTTGTCATATAGGGAATTTTAATTCTATTTATTGCTACTTTCATGGAACAATTGACCTTAAACTTATACAGAAATGCTCAATCCTCACGTTTTTAGGATATGTTGTAATCTGGTGCTTAGAGCAGTGTAATGTATGATTTTGTATCTCATATTCAACAAATATATGTGATTTTATTTTTCGTTCTATGGAGATCTCTTATGAAAGTAGCATTTTAGATATGCTTGGAAAAAACATACTGAGTTCAGAATGCAGTCCATCCATAATAATCCTCTATATTCAACACACATCTGCTTGAAACACCCGTGCAGCCCTGAAAATTATTCTTACACTGCCACAAACTCTGAAAAACTCTCACAATCCCAGCATAAAAATCAATCACAAGTACTATTGCTATAGACAATGTAAGTGACATGCATTATCAGGAAGGTAGAAATCCAGACATGGTCCTAGCACCTTATTTCTTCATGGCTGTGTTCTCATAAAGTTTTCTGGCTTGCTTCCAATGCTTAATCTTTAAAATTTCAAAATAAATTGTTTTTCTTTTATTCAACAATCTTGTGAGAAATAATTTCAAAGCTTTTATTTTACCTTGTCTTAAAAGTTTAAATGAGGACTGAAAATCAGGCCCATTTTGAAGAGTAAGAGAGTCCTGTGCTTTACAGTTATGGGCAATTGCAATCACAAGCTTCACACGGAGACACTGAACATATGCTTCAGTGATGTCCATCAAATGAGAGTTTAACTGAAGAACACCATTGGAAAAGGAGCGTTTTAGTGGCTTCAGCAAGAGCCCCTGCTCTGCGATGGAAAGCAGAGGGGTGCCTGATGGTGTTTCCTTTGATTTCTTGACAAGCCAAGCCAAAAACTAGTGAGGATGTCTTCAGTCCACTGCTACCCAGCTTTGACAGACAATCTTTTTCATGGTGCCTCTTTCTTTTCAAATGAGAGAGCAAGAGAAACCCCAGGGACTCAGCACTGTTTTGAACCTCAGCTTAGTTGCTTCTGGACAATTCATCCAACTAAGAATAATCAACAGTGCCTGTTCCTCTGTGCCTGTCCTGAAAAAAGGGCCAGAGATACAAGCTGAGTCGTGATTCAGCTTTTTTATTTAGCGTATGTGTGCACGAGGAAGAAATTTAATATTTATCACATTTAGGTAAGAACCAGGCTTCCCTGATGTCTTCCACTTCGATTTGCACTGATTAAAGTATTTTCTAATCCATCAGCTAACCAGCAAGTAATTGGTATACTTTGCATTTCTCCTAATACTGCTGTTCAAGGAAGGAAATAGCAGAAAAGGCTGGCACGAATAGCATTTTTTCCACTGTAGGATAGAATATGCTGTTACCTAATATATATTATAAAGTGAATCTTGTGATGATGTAAATAAACCACAGTAATATATATATAATATATATTATGCATTTAT